AAACAAGGAAATAGCAATTTTGTTTATTCTTTCTTAAGTTAGGAATCCTACTACATTAAGGAATAGAAATCCCACTACAATAAGGAGTTGGAAAATTTTCTTTGAATTCTATTCAAACAAGGAGATAGCAATTTTGTTTATTCTTTCCTACGTTAGGAATCCTACTACATTAAGGAATGGTCAAGTCAATTCCCAGTATGAAGTGTTAGAACTGATTTGTCTTTCCTGCATTGTGTTTCAATCGAATTCCTTTTTTTTTTTTTTTAATTCGTTCAGGTTGTTTCTTTTATTGCTTTTCTTGTTGGTTCCTTCGTGTTTTTTCGTTTCCTTCAACTCTTGTTGTAGATTTGTTGGAATTAGATTGTTGCAAAATAACTTGAATTGAGCTTGTTTAGTTCAATAACGAACTGAAAGAGAAAGTTGAGTGAGGGAAAAAGGCAAGAGGTGTGAGCAACACTTGAGAGAAAAGCCAAGTTCTACAATGTGTAAAACACGAGCGTTGAGTGCCATTCTATGAGAGAGTGGAGTGAAACACGTAAGGGAGTGTTGTGAGGTCTTTTTTATTCTTCTGTTTCTAACATTTGTTGCAGGTTTCAATCATGTCAAGTAGTGATGACAAATCAACCCCTAGAAGCCACCATGTGGATGAATCCTTCATGCTCAAAGCAATGCAACAACAATTTCAGAGGCTGAACATCATGTTTGGTGAGATTAAAGACAAAATGGAGGAGCAAGATGCGGCGATAGCCAAGTTATACCAAACACAGAATGGAAGTTCGAATTTCCATAAGAATGATGCTAATGATGATTTCGATGACGATTATAAAGATGCATTCAACAATGACGCCCAAAACTCAAATTTCAGCATGGTCAGAATTATGAGAAGTAGAGGGGGCCAAAGAGAGCAAAATCTGACAAGGTGGGGAGATCGGCAAGATCGTGACTTAGGTAGCATCAAGATGAAGATTCCTCCGTTTCAAGGAAAGAATGATCTAGATGTGTATTTGGAGTGGGAAAAGAAGGTGGAATTGGTGTTTGATTGCCATAACTATTATGAGGAGAAAAAGGTGAAACTAGCAGCGGTGGAATTTACTGATTATGCTGTGGTATGGTGGGATCAGCTTGTGCTTAGTCGACATAGTCGACGTAGAAATCGAGAGCATCCTGTTGACACTTGGGAAGAGATGAAAGCTGTGATGAGAAAACGATTTGTTCCTAGTCATTACTACCGTGATCCCTATCAACGATTGCAGGGCCTTACTCAAGGGTCCAAAAGCGTTGAGGATTATCACAAAGAGATGGAAATTGCAATGGTTAGAGCGAATGTGGAAAAGGACAGAGAAGCAACTATGGCACGGTTTCTGCATGGCTTAAATCGTGATATAGCTAATATGGTGGAGTTGTAGCATTATGTGGAATTGGAAGATATGGTGCATATGGCGATGAAAGTAGAACGGCAACTCAAGCATAAGGGAGCCACCACTAGAATTGGGCAAAATTCAGGTTCCTCATCTTCTTGGAAACTGAATTGGAGCAAAAAGGAAGAAAATTCTGTTTTTAAGCCTAAAATTGTAGCATCTAAGTTAAAAGAAGTTGGCAGCAATGAGAAAAGTAAAACAGATAATACGCAAGGCAGAAACCGAGACATCAAGTGTTTTCGATGCTTGGGAAGAGGGCATATTGCATCGCAGTGCCCTAATAAGTACATGATGATCTTGAAAAAGGATAGAGAAATTGAAACAGAGGGTGAATCTGATGATGACTCTATGCCACCATTGGAAGATGCTGATGATGGCATGGAATATGCTGTTGATGGAGAACTGCTTGTCACTAGGTGTGCGTTGAATGTGCAAGCCAAAGAAGATGATGAAGTACAACGCGACAACATATTTCACACAAGGTGCTATATCAAAAATAAGATATGTAGTGTGATTATTGATGGTGGCAGTTGTACTAATGTAGCTAGCACTGTTTTGGTTGAAAAGCTTAATTTACCGATGATGAAGCATCCAAGGCCATATAAGCTGCAATGGTTAAATGATTGTGGAGAAATTAAGCTAAACAAACAAGTTCTGGTTTCATTCTCTATCGGACGATATAAGGATGAGGTACTGTGCGACGTGGTTCCCATGCATGCTAGACATTTACTTTTAGGAAGACCATGGCAATATGATAGGAGAGTAACACATGATGGCTTCAAAAATCACTATTCGTTCATCATGGAAGGGAAAACAATTACTCTTGTGCCATTGAATCCAAGGTAGGTTTATGAGGATCAACTGAGATTGAAAAAAGAGAGTAAGCTGAGAAAAGAGAGTGAGTTTGAGGGTATGAAAAACAGAGAGAAAACAACAGAGGAAGAGTTAAAAAAGAGAGAAAAGATCGAGAGTGTTGAAAACAAAGAGAGAAAATCAGTGAGTGTTTATGCAAAAGAAAGTGATGTCAAGGCTGCGTTCTTTGCAAAGTAGCCTATGTTTGTGCTACTGTCTAAAGATGCTTATTTCAACACTAACGAACTTAATGATTCTTTGCCTAGTGCTATTAAATCTCTTTTACAAAACTTCAAGGATGTGTTTCCAGATGATGTTCCTAATGGTTTACCACCAATAAGAGGAATTGAGCATCAAATTGACTTCATTCCTGGTGCAACAATTCCAACCCGACCAGCATATTGAAGTAATCCCACTGAGACAAAAGGACTTCAAAGGTAGGTCGAAGAACTCATGAAAAAGGGACATGTGAGAGAAAGCATGAGTCTATGTGCAATTCCAGTGCTACTTGTGCCTAAGAAGGATAGGACTTGGTGTATGTGCATTGATTGTCACGCGGTTAACAAAATCACTGTAAAGTATCGTCACCCTATTCCTAGATTAGATGACATGTTAGATGAGTTGCATGGTTCTTGCATATTCTCTAAAATTGATTTAAAGAGTGGATATCATCAAATTAGGATGAAGGAAGGTGATGAATGGAAAACAACCTTTAAAACGAAACATGGTTTATATGAGTGGTTAGTTATGCCATTTGGATTAACTAATGCCCCTAGTACATTCATGCGATTAATGAATCATGTTTTGCGTGCTTTCATTGGCAAATTTGTGGTTGTTTATTTTGATGACATTCTAATATATAGTAAGAGGTTAACTGATCATATTAAGCATTTGCAAATGGTACTTGAGGTTCTGAGAAAAGAAAAGTTGTTTGCTAACCTTAAAAAGTATTCCTTTTGCACAAATCAGATTGTCTTTTTAGGGTATTTTGTTTCAGCTGATGGACAAACAAAAGTGGTTAGTAGGGCGTTCTCAACCTTATTGCGATCTATTATTCAGAAGAACTTGAAGAATTGGGAAGAGTGTTGGCTGCACGTTGAATTTGCTTATAACCGGAGCATCCATTCAGCAACTAACTATTTGCCATTTGAGGTTGCGTATGGTTTTAATCCACTCACTCCTTTAGATTTGTTGCCTTTACCTATTGATGAACAAGCTAGTTTGGATGGGAAAAAGAAAGCTAAAGTGGTTAAGCAACAGCATGAGAGGGCGCGACAAAACATAGAGTGACGAACTGAGCAGTATGCAAAATAAGCCAACAAAGGATGCAAGAAAGTTGTATTTGAACCTGGAGATTGGGTTTGGGTGCATATGCATAACGAGCGATTCCTTGCACAAAGGCGTTCTAAGTTGCAACCAAAAGGCGATGGACCATTTCAAGTGATTGCGAGGATTAACGACAATGCATACAAGTTGGAGCTTCCTGGTAAGTATAATGTTAGTGCTACTTTTTGTTAAAGAATTTTCAAAATATTTTCAGGATTGGGGTTCGAATCACAAAAGTTGATTCAAAGCAATTGCGCAGAATGCATTTGAGATACTCTATGTATGAGATTCATAAATGCTGCTAGAATATTTGCTAGCCTAAAGAGCATATCAAGGAGCTCATATTGTCCAAATCTAGTCCTAAAAGATGTTTCATAATGTCTTCATCCTCAATTCTCAACTAATAATATCTTTTTTTTGATAAATCAAAATCAAATTTTATTAATAGAATGAGTACAAGGAGTCAACTAATAATATCTTGACCCCTAGTCAATTTTTGAAAACACTTTAGCACCATGTAACTAGTCAAAAAGGTCATCAGTTCTAGGTAAATGGTACTTATTCTTAATTATCAATTGGAGCTCCCTAGGGGGACACACTCATCTTAAATAAAACATTTATCCAATAATAATTCCTATTGCTATTTCTTTAACTTTATCAATTATATATAGGCCATTCTGTAGAAGATTGTGAAATTAGTAGCGTTCCAAGTACCAAATCTATCACAAATTCTATCTTTTTCTTATGTGGCAATCTGGGTAATTCCTTTGGAAAAACATCCTCAAAGTTTTCCAATACCATGATTCCTTGCACACTATAAGATTTGCTTTTATTTTCAAAAATATAAGTAAGATACCTTGAACACACTCTTGTTGTAAATAATTTGTAGCCCTCACATTAAAAATTAACATAGGATATGCATGTAAATCCTCATCCTTAAATTGGATAATTGGTTTACTAGAAACTTGAAAAAGTAACTACCTTATTCAAACAATCTACCTAGCCTTATGAGTTAACAACCAATCCATTACTCTTACATCGAATTCATCAATATTGAGAAGAATCAAAGCAACTAGTAGACATTACTCAATAACCAAAACATGACATCCCTTATACACCACAAGAGAAGATAAAATGGAACTAGATGACAAATTTACAACAAACTCATTTTTTAGGCTTATAGGCTTTGCATGTAAATATGCAACAAACTTGAGAAAAACAAATGAATAAAATCTGCCAAGAGAGAATATCTTCTCAAAACAAATTTTAAATTTTACATAAATCTTTATCCTACAAGTTTTCCTTTGCATTTATTATATTTTCACAAGATCACTTGTAGTATATTGACTTTATAATATTATATGTTTGGACTACTAATCCAAAAACATCACATAATTCTTGTAATTTTAATTCTATTTGAGTCATCGCTTTTAATATTGGTCAAATTTTTTTGGTCGATAATTTTTAATGAATTTTGATCCGAGATCCTCCTTTTCATTAACAATAAATAAATTTTTTATACTAATTCATGAGATTCATGAGATTAGTTAATAATCGAAATATTGCCTATAAATCCCAATAAATTGTCATGTGTAGTGAAGCTAAATTTATAGCACTAGTAATAGCTAATTTCACCATAGCATATTGGAAAATAAGTACATAAAACTATCAATTACCAAACTTTACATAAGCAATTTCTATAAGGAAGTGAGCATACCTAGGAAAGCTACCCAATTGTGAGTTCTATGCATTTGAGAAGTCTCATCTCATACTCTAGCTTATGGGGTAGAACAATTAGTTAGGGACCTCACCCTAACTATGTCATCAACAACTGAAAGAAGTGCTAAAACCTATTTGAGCCTAACCAGCCACATCCACACTGCCTTTGTTCTTCACCATAGGTAAAACCTAATGAAAATGAATTGAGACATAGAGACTTCCTAAAGAAAGAGAAATTCTCACAAGAGAAAGAGAAACCCAAAGAGGGGTAATCTCTCACTTATTCATGCTCCCTAGCCATTGAGGAGATAAAGGCAATGACTAGAGTAAAGAAAAAGCAAGAGAGAGCAGAGAGAATCAAGGAAAGAGAGAAAGAGACTACAAAAAATAAGTCAAGAAAACTAATATCAAATATTGATAAGCCAAGAAAAAAAAAGGATCATTCAACAAACTAAACTCAAGCAAAGCCACAAAACTAAGTACTACTACTATAAATCTGCAAAATGAAACGGAAATCATAAGCATACAAAATATAAAATTAACAAAGAAACTAGGGACAAAATTCATAAACATGCAACAAACTAAATGACCAGTTAGCTTCATGGTATTTTGAACAAAGGCTACCTCAGCACATTTAAGGCCATCTCGAAATCAAATTTTTAGTGACATAATTAAGATGCTTGTAATATGACATAGGAAACTTTTGAAATAGCATGAAAAACCTTTGACTTAAGAAAAGAAACTTTGATATATTAACTTTCTGTTACGGATAGTATTGCCGTGTAGAAGTTTTCTAATGCGGGCCATGAACATAAAATCGAATGAGAGGCAACTCAGCAGCTGGATTTAGACTTGAAGAGTGCAAATCCTTAACCAAATCTAGTGCGAAAATGGGGCTTTCAAACTTTGCAAGAATACTAAATTAGTTCTATTTCTTGATCTATAATAATAGTAGTTATACTAGACACAGCAAGAGAAAGAAGACCATTCAAAGCTTCTCCTTCAATCTCATCTTCATATTTTGTCTAGGACTCAAGTGGAATTTAAGTACCCCAAAACAAAACTCGTGTAATTATTCGTTTTCTATAGAATTCCGATCGTTTTTTTTCTAAGTTTGGATGTTTATGAAGAACAAAAGTGATTTTGTACGAAGGCCTTGAGCCAGACAAGCTACACATGCACATCACTGCGTGCTGTAGTTTTTAGTCTTTTGCTTTCAAACGTCAATTTTTTTAAACATAGGGAATTGTGGGGAATGGGTACTTTTGCAATGTGACTGGTGAGGCTTGAATAATTCTTGCCTGCACCGGATGAACCCACTATGGCTGTGGCTATCAAACTTCAATTTGTTTTTCTATCATTGCCCAATGTATCTTTAAAAAAAAAATGAAGAAGAAGAAAATAAGAAAAGGAGGAGAGGTTCAGGTGAGATAAGAGGGGCGGCAAAGGTTCCCGGGAGACAATTTTTGGAGGGAAAAAAATTACTAATAATTAAATTTAGAGGATAAAAAAAAATTGTTTTATATCGTATAACATAAAAGTGAAAAAAACTTTATCCTATTTTTGTTATGGAATTTCAAATTTTAATTTTTTTTAATATTAAATGTCTCGAAAAGGAAAGCAAAAAGTACTGTACATATTGTCTTCTTATTTTAATTTTTCTTTTGTGGTGGCACTAGAAAACAAGAAATGTCTAATAAAACAGAAAGAAAGAAAGAAAGAAAGAAAGAAAGAAATATCATTAGCTATTTACAACCGCCCATAAATTAGAAAAAAAAAAAGAAGGGAAAATTCATCAGTCGTGAGAATTCATCACTACCCGCAAATAAAATAAAATTAAAACGAAAACGACCTCAACCCTTTTCTCTCTTGCAGAACACCAACCAACCGTAATCTCATTTTATTAACGATAATGATATAAAAGGAAAAAAAAATCCTCAATTCATGTGGTGGACAGTAATCGAACGAACCACGGAATGCTTTTACAATCCAATCTTTTTTTTCTTTTTTTTTTTTCAGACGTTAAGGGTGTTTTTGTCAATTTCACTATATTTTGAAGCTATAGATAAATATTTTTTTAAAATTTAACTTTATAATTATTTCTTAATTTAATCTTTTTTTTCTTTTTTTTTTTTCAGACGTTAAGGGTGTTTTTGTCAATTTCACTATATTTTGAAGCTATAGATAAATATTTTTTTAAAATTT